CATCCTTATCATCATCATAGGGCCTTTGATCAAACGCTGCTCTATCCTCGGCCAGATCAGGGCAATACCTGTCGGCCAAAATCTCAACTTGGTCGGAGAATGATTTGGAACCAGGCACGCCAATGTGCAGAACCATCTGGTTCCATCTCTTCCTGCATAGCTCGCCTGTTCGGTTTTCCAAAAGGCTATCCCAATCGACATCTTCCATACAGGCAGCGTCAAGTTTCATGAGCTCATCCAATAGAAGATAATCATCTGAATTATCCCATATTCCCTCCGCCACCATTGGAGATGTAAGTTGCCTGTACCATTTTATACAGCAATTCGAATGCGTCCTAGTTCCAAGCTGCTCGCTTATCGCCGTCCACGGGATATTGTCCCGAAGCATCCCGTGTTTCGAGTTCTTCTCCTGTAGTGCTTTTGTCCTGAGATCCATGTTCACCAGATCAAACAGGGTTTGGTATTCCTCTCGAGACCATCGGATTTTGTTCATGTTCGGGAATTTGATTCTCCTCCATGCGTCTTTCACGTGCCACCTGTGTTTTCCCATTACTTCAGCGAGCGTTTTCCAGTCCGACCCATGTTTCTCCGCAAAGTTTTTGACGAGTTCCAACTGTTCCGGAGTCCATGATCTCTTGGGATCTCCTTCAAACAGGATATGAGCTCGGTAATATACGCTTGACCGTGTCCTCCAAGGTAATGCAGCTGCTATTTCTTTCCAACAGTTTTTAACTTTTGGGATTGACTTGCATTTCATAACCATGTTTAAACCTTCTTCTGCTAACCCATGGTTATCTATGTATTCTTGAACAGCTGCCTTAACCAACTCGTCTTCTTCTTTTGAGAACCGTTTGCCCATCATCAACTCAACATTTCCTTCATCTTCTTTGAATTCATCCTCAGACACTCCGCCGTCAGATAATGGAAACATATCCACTTGATCAGAAAATGTCACCCTTTTGGCGCTTTTACTTGATGACGGAGTTTCAGGCTCTGCGTTCTTAGTTTGCTCCTGCTTTTTCTTCTTTTTCTTCTTTGCGCTCCTCTCAGTTTCCA